ATTTCGTTGTATGTGTGTAACATAAGGGCTGTGGGTAGCACCAGTGGTGGTTGTCCACAGCATGGTTTACCTTTCTGACTGGATGGCTGTCTGGAAGGCCATGAATGCTACAAGTTTTTCCAGCAGGGAAGAAAGCATGGCTGTGGACTGAGGAGCCTCTATACCAATCCTGTTCATCTACAGAGAAAGTAGGATAAACTTTTTCCCTGAAAACAGGATATAACAATAATTAGAAAAAGTTTCCTTGCTTTCAGCTGGAAGCCTCATTTAGCTAGCACCAGACCCTGCAACTTTTTCAAAGTTTTTTCCCTTTTATTTACACTGCCAAGGCTTCAGCAACAGTCTAGATGTAGTCATTGATGCATTTGTCCTTTTTCTCTTCACTTTTTATTTTCCTGCTGTCGAAGTTGCACATCTTCTGTTTAAAAACATTACCCAGGAAACATTTGTTTGTTCCTGAGCAAGCCTGTATATGCTTTCTTTGTGTGTCAGTGACGTGTCTGTGGTTTGGTTTTGAGTTTCTGGCCGTCTTGCACATTGAAGCTGGATAGAGGGTAGATTTCCCACTCATAGTTTGTAGGGATATTTAACTCATAATAATACCATTTACTCAACATCTTGACTGATTATATGTGTAAACTGGATAGGAGCGGCCATTATTCTGACACTCATAGTTTTGTTGTTTGAAGTTAGTGTTCACTGAAGTGTCATTGGTTCTTTATCTTAGCCAAGGTTACTGTTCCTTGTCAGAAAGTATCCTGATGGCGCTACGGTCTGAACACTTTAGATATATACAAAGGGCTCAGTTATCAGCAGCAACGCAATCTGCATTTTAGATGACTGGGATCAAACACACACAGGTTCTGTGGGACTGATCCAAGTGTAATTGATAGATGTATCACTGGAGTTAAGGGCTGGTTGCATGTCTGAACAGGCTGGTAACATCCTCATAAGAAAATTGTTGTTGCAGTTGTGTGCCTGTAAACTTAGATTTGAAGTTTTAGAAATGCTAGATTCAGGCCCACTGAATAACCCTGTATTTAGAGCAGAAAATGTGGTAGAGCACCTGCCTTTTTTGAGGTGGAAACATGATAGAAAAAGAGGGAATGTCTGCAGTTATTGAAACTGCCTGCTGAACTGTTTTTGACCATATAAGCTAATAAAGTTCAACTGTGACCTTGTTTAAGCTTATTCCAAAAGTGAAGTCATTTCTGGCATCTAAAGCAAGTCCTTGAAGCTTTAAAATCATGGCTCTATAAACTGTGTTCCTCTGCATTACAAATAAACTATTAGTATGCACCATTTAAGACGTGAATATGGGCTGTTTTGCTTCAACCCATATGCACAGTTCAGAAGGTCAGGCATTACCACAGTATCTCTCCTGTTATTTTAGGGCTCTCATGTGTTATGGTTGGCCCTGATCACATGGCATTTGGTTTCAGTTATTTTTCCATGGGTTTGGCTTTTAAGAATAGACACATTTCAAGAAAAATCCAACAAGTTGTAAAGTTCACAAAGACTGGGGACTGTGATCACTTTTAGACTTCAGCAGCTGAAAGAAGATAAGCATCTTATTTTAAGGACTGTGACTTTTTAACCTAAATAGAGCGAGTCTAAGTTATGGGTAATGCAGAAAGCAAAATTTGTTGAGGGTTATGGGATGGGGAGAGGCAAAAAGAAAATAGAAGCAGTTAGTATTGTAATAGCTGTGAATTTCTTTCTAATTCACACCGATTATTGCTAATTTCTCTAAATTTAGAGGCAAATGGATGCAAAAGTGGAGGTACAGTGCTCTTTGTTGCAGTTGAATAATTAGTTTGATAAATAATGCAAGGAGGCAAAAAGGGATTCCCTTCTGGTCAAAATGTTGACCCTTTGATCTCCAGCTGTGGCTCATCATTTAAACTGGTGTTTTTCTTGTTGCTGCGGTTTTTACTGTAAGATGTTGTTTTTAACCTCTGTGTAAAGACCCATACAGCAAATGTGGGCACCCTTTGTTTAACGAGTGCCTGGGGGGTAGAGTCAAAATTCCAAGGGCTACGTTTCAAAATGTACATGGCTGTTGAAATGATCAAATTCTAGTAGTATTAAAAGGAGTGTGTCTCTCCTCTGTTGTCTCAATACTGAAAACTTGCCTCAGGACTTACAGACTTACCATCTAAATGATGCGGTAAGATTTTCAAAACCAGGAGCTGCTTAATACTTTAGAAAATGTTTCCTCAGATTCATTCCTAAGAATGCTTCTGAATGTTGAATGAAATAAATCAATGCCAGCATGAAAGAAGTGCCTTTTGCGTATCTGTGGATTGGTAGAGACTAGCTGCTTGTGTAGAAATGCTAGAAGGCAAGGGAGACCTGAAGGAATGTGTATTTAGGTCTTTTCAATCATAAAGAAGAGTATTATATACATGTAAATCCAGAGAACGTATAACTTTATAAGGAACTTGTGGATGTGGAATTCTAAAAGACTAGTGAATGTGGCAGGGTTTATTTAATCTTTTCAGGTTCTGCAAACAATCCGCTGTCAATGGAAATATGAGGCGGTAGCCCTAACAGGAGATCAATAAAATGCCAGAAAACCTTGATAGGAGCTACAGATTAAGGCGATACTTCTCAGCCCTGCTATCTTGGACACATTTACCCTTTTACTTATATCATTGGAGAGAGAATAAACCACGAATGCATTTGTAAATCATATAGATTCTTAGCAGTTTCCTGGTATTAATTGTCAAATCAGCATAAGGTACATATGTGCAAGTACCCATTTACAGTATGCTATCACAGTATAAAAAATTATTTAAGTAAATCATTTCAAGTATAGACAGTGTCTCATCACTACGTGTGCAAGTTCCTGTAATCTGGAAGATGTTGCTCGATTTTAAGCCATTTCTGAGTGAAAATGAACTTCTGATGTTTATCATGTGCATTACAAGTTTTTCTCCATCTTCTGCTGATACTCTTTAATGTTGTGAAACAGGCTCTTGAGCAGTTTGAAGTGCGTTTTGAATGAAAAATGTTGTCCCAAGGCACTGTTTTATTATGCATGTCCAAGGAGCATGACAAGAGACCTCCATAATCTCTCAGTTCTACTCACAGCTCACTGGACTTGTGTCACCAGCAGAAGAAATTATTCAGTGAAAAGCACAATTGTGTCAGACAGTTTAGTAGGCTAACAGGACCTAATATGCTATGGCATTGAAGGAGAACTTCCATAAACTAAATGCACCACAACTTAATGAACTGTAGCTGTACTGTGTAAATAATGCCGGCTAATTCTACAGTGAAGTGAGAATTAAAACCGGGAACATAAGTATTTCTTTCCCTCTAAGGAAAGTAAAGTAAAAACCAAGACTCCAAAAAGAAACTAGAATGCATTTTTTTTTTAATTATTTTTTATTTCTGAATAGTGTTGGCTAGTTCAACAAGGGCTCAGTTGACTAATTTAACCGAGGCCCCATTAAAATGGATTTTACTCTGGGTCACCTAGAGTTTAAGAAGTTCAGGAAGAGAGCAGAAGAAATATTTTTGTGTGCTTTCAACAGGCCTCTGCAGGGCCTCAGCAGTGAGGGAGCTATTGTTTGTGAAGGACCAGATCTGTTGGACAGAACCCGTTAACCTGGGAGGGGAGAGGGGAACGTTGTAGTTAATGGCAGGAAATCTATTATTTATTATCAGTCAAAACTAAAAAGCATGTGTAAGTCTTCAGAGGGAACAAGGATGTAAAAGTAGCATCACATTGATGAAAAAGTATCTATCCCCTGCTTCTTTCCTGCTTAAAGTATGAAAATATTGAGATCGTCTCTCTCTCTCTCTCTCTCTTTTTTTTTTTTTTTCCTGCTGTTTTTTGCTAACCAGCATGGCTTCCTGGCTTGCAAATAATTTTTCCTCATGGTTCTTTTTCACCTTAATAAATCCCCACCAAACTTTGAACAAAAAAAGGCAAAAGGGGAAAAGAAATATCACAGCCTTCAAGTTCTGGAAAAATGTCTATATATATAGATTAAAGTGAAGGGAACTTTTATTTATTTAGTGCGTATTTGTAGCTGATTTTGTGACTATTGGTCTCCAGAATGAAACATGAGGAGTAAAAGCTACTAGTAGTCATAGAAGAAGTTATGACTTTGTTCATGACCAAGAACTACTTAGGCTCAGAGTTTGTCCCTTTTTCAATATGGTTGAGCTGCATTTTGTCTGGAGCTTTTACCTAAGCCTTGGTAAGGTAGTGAGCATCCAGGATGAAATAAACATCTGTCACAAGTGCAGAGGACCAGCTCTTACAAAGTGGTAAGGTAAATCTTGGAAAATCTGGAATTTGAATGACTAAGAGAGATTCTCAGCTGTGGTCTCCTTCAAGATGGTGGTGCTAGATATTGCTATAGTGACAGAATGGTTGAAATACTTGAACGCTAGGGATTTTAAAGGTCAGTTTTGCCATAGGTATGGAATCTCCATCTAAACATTCAGGTTTTGTAGTATTTATGATTGTAGCTATTTTAAGATTTAGCATGAGCTGAAGTGTTCCACAGACACAATCGTGTTCTGATGTGTCCCAGAAATGGGAAGAGAATTTTCGCTTTGTACAGGAGAGAAAACATTATGGCTAGATATAATTGGCCAGATTACCAATTAGGTCTAAGCTTCTGGAGTCTTGGAATTTGTTTAGGCCTGTTACAGCATGGAGCATGGAAATACCACCAGAGGATGGTCCCTGCAACTCCAGGCCTGAACAGAGCCCTCTGTACTAGAAATAGAGTTATGGGAATTCTTTTATCTTTTATGTACCACTGACTACTGCTGGGCTCTTCTGACTAAATGAGTCTGTTTGCTGAACTGGAATCGTTGCCAAAAAAGATTGAGCTAGCTGAATCTCCTGTTTAGAGTTTTTTGGGGTTTAAAATAATAATAATAAAAAAAGCCCTTTGATATTCCCATCCTGATGTTTTATCTCTCTCTCTCCTCTCTCTCTCTCTTTTTTTTTTTTTTAACCTTCCCAAATTCAGTGCTGAAATGCAGCTTTCAATCACGGGAAGGAGGTCCAAAATCTGAAGGAAAATACTTCAAAAGTGTGGAAAGCAAAACTGTTCTCTCAAGCCCATCTGCTGGATATGATTAGTCTGTGGACATTTTTCCCTCCAAATTTTCAGCTCCTTATGTGGTAAGGAAAAATGTTTGAGTTCTTAAATGCTGACAGGTTAGGAAAACTGTTTCCTTTGCTGCAGCCCCTATAACTGTGCAGCCCTTGTTTGTGGACTGATAGCACTGGGCCGGCAGCCAGGACCGACACGATTCAGTGGGGCTCTGGCTGGCAGCAGTGCTAACAAAGGAGCTGGTCTGAGATGCTTTTGTTTTACTGTCATCAATGTCTTATTGTTTGCTAGAATAATTGCCCAGTTAATCCTAACTGGTAGGATAATTATATAAAGCTCATGCCCAGTGTAAACAGGAGGCAATATTCTTTCTTTATCTTTGCCTGGCATTAAGTACCCTCAGCTTCTAACAGCCTCTCAGGATTGGCCCTTAATTGTTTACTGCCAGGCAATATAGGTTGACAAATTAACATCAGGGACATGGGATCAAATCCTAATCTCCTTTATTATTCAGGTGAGGTTCCAGATTTTTTAGGGCCTACTTTTACTAGATCTAAGGATTAGACTTAATTAGATTGTGTCCTATATTTATAGCCACCCAGCTGGTATTTTTGACTTTGAAACATGTAGTTCCAGAAGTTCATGTTTTAACAGGCTTTTTCTCAGATCTAATAGTAGTTCTGGTACTTTTCTTTTATATTTGCAATAAAGAGGACAAGTACTGAATAGTAATAAAGCCTGTTCTATAAAACTCTGATTATTACTATGGCAAATGTTTTGGACAGTTACAAACTTTACTTGACTTAATAACGATTTTATGCCAATCAGCTAACTCATTATAATTATGAGGACAGGTTATAAAATCAGTGTTTTGTAAGTTTTTCTCCCATTTTAACCCCTGAAATTTAGCAACAGGTTTTGCTTTGCCTTCTCACGTTGAGTATTGGTGCCTTATTGCATGAGTAAATGGTAAAAATCACTCTCTGAATAGTAACATTTCACTACTGGTCTCTCCAACCTTAGGCAGCAGATCTCTACATACCTTGATTAAGGTGCCTTTCACGTGCACAAGATCATTGATGCTTTCTTTACTCTAGTTCTTCCACTATAGTTTTTGTGGTGGGTGGAGTTAAGCCAGTGGTGGAAGTGAAGAGAACATTCCTTACTATAGCCTAAGGGGTCTGTTTTAATATGCCTGCTTTTCCAGCTTCAGTTAATGAGTATGGTAAGTCAAAAATAGCTGAAGAAAAGACATTTTAAAAGGGTATCTGAAAGCTCCTAAATGATTCAGTATTTTAGGTAAAACTTTGCAAGCAGTACAGGAATGTATCTGTCTGTGCTCAAACACCCTCTGCTTTCCCTTCCTGATAACACCTGGTGGGTCCACCAACTCAAGTACCATTACGTTTATAAGTTTTGATTTTGGTTAACTATATTATTCCCCTGTTTTATATGAATTTCTAGCTGGTAGGTCTACATAGTTTGTCATATAATGCAGCTTTTTGTTCCAGTCAACCTTTCTGCCATCTTTTAACCATTTGATTTCTTGAGTCACCTTACAAAATTCCGGGAGACTGTTCAGAAAACCAGTGAATCCACTGACTTTCTCACATATCTTTTTCGGGATTTGGCCTTACGTAACAGCTTTTGAAATTTGTGGTAGTGGGCAGGCCACCAAAACAGATCAACAGCACCTTTTATCATTTGTCTTATTTACAATCTCTGTTGAGAAAACAAGAGTGTGGACTGCTGTGTGTTTGGTGACTTTCTGTAGTAAGATAGGCTTTGGAAGAAATTAAGTTTGTTTATTTGTTTGTTTGAAGTAGGCTAATTTCCTTAGAACAAATTGTTTCTTTCAAAGTCTCTTAAAGTATATCCTTCTGTTTCTAGTCCTAGTTTTCTCCTAGAACCCATACTTACATTTAAAGCAGCTCTTCCACAATGAAAGACTTTGGCAAGTTAACGTCAAAGCAGCTACACAACTCCAGTGAAACTCTGCCTGTCAGGCAGGTTTCTAATGGACTCTGGCTTGGTTCCCTTTGTATGTCTGGCTTCTCCAGTACCAGGTCACTCTGAATGGTGCCCTTCTCCAAGCTGTAGAAGCTGCATCTCCAGGGTTGTCTGAAAGACAAGAGCGTGAAAGTCCAAGGCCTGGGCTGGGCCAAGGGTTTGAGATGAAGCAGAAAAGGAACAAGGGGTTTGGAAACCTCTAAAAGTCACTGAGCAGCTCTGAAATCCCATTTTATTAAAGCATCCATTTTTCTAGGCCTGCAGGCAAAAAAGCTGCATGTACAGTAATGATTTTGTTTCAGAAAATAAATGCTCCTTCACAATATGCATGTACTTCACCAGATTTCTGGGAAGTTTCAAAGAAAAAGAAAGAGAAAAAGAAAAAATGGTTTGGGCTCAATCCAGAAGTAGGTCATTTTTTCCTGACATAGATTTTTTTTTGTAAATTGAAAGTCTTGAATTTTAGAGATACACAGCAATAACTAAGTAGGGGAAAAAAGTGTGAGATGCGCTTAAATTTCTGAAGTAGAATTTGCTATGCTATTTCATGGTTAGTACTAGGATTTGTGCTATCAATCAGCCAGCACACTACTCCTCACTGAAATCTGTGAACAAATGAAGTAAGAGGGACTCTTATTGATGTGTTCTGTTTCCATAACTTCAGAGAAGTGAATTAAGGCTATTGATTTCACGGTATCTGATGCTATCATTTTTCTTGCTTTTCCCCTTCTGCTCTTTGTCTTTTCTGTTACTGTGCTTGTTCTGTGAAGTGCAACCTGCTCTGTACAGGCTCAACATCAGCCTGAAGACATGAGCTCTGACAGTGCTGCATCTGCAAACCTTCCCCCAAAGGAATGCAATTGTCATGGCATTTGGGAAAGAAGAAACACATTCTGATTACTCGGGTCCTAAGCCCTTATTTAGGGCTCCGTGACAAAAACAGAGGTATCAGCAGCAAGCAATGAACCATCAGGAGATGCTGAACAATATGCTAAGATATGTCCAGCTCTTCCTGCTGGTACGGCAGGTCTGGATTTGCATCTCCTGCCACTGTTCACACCTCCACAGCAGGAAAACAAGCTTTGCCATTTTGTCCCATGGATGGCTTCCAAACTTGTCTCAGAAAGTTGCCACCTAGAATATGTAATGAGGAGCCTTATAAATAGAGCTAGGTGGTGTCTGACTGCAATTGCCAGTGGAACAACTGCTCTGTCCTGATCTGTGGGCCTGGTTGAAATTTTTGTCTGCTGACTGCTGATGGAATTGTTTTCTCCATGCAACTGTGTAAAGCTTGTTTTCCATGCTGATTTTCTTGGGTTCAAGCCTTTAGCAAGAAGTCAGACAGCAAATGTTTGAGAGGAAGGAAGGACCTGTTGGGCCAGTGCTGTAATTACATGCAGAAGATGTAGGTTCAAATTCTGGCTTTGCTGCAGGTTTCCTATGTGACCCTGCATAAACATCCCAGTGCATCAGTTGCTATAGCAAAACAAAGATATAATTTCCTTTCTTCCACTGCCTGTCTCACATGCAAGCATTCAAGAACAAACATTATTACTTACAGTTTTACTGAACCATTCTCGACAGCGCAGTACGATCCTGACTTCTGGCTGGGGCCATTAGCTGCCTCCTTGTTCCCAATAATAAACAAAAGCAAAGCAGGCAGTCTTGTTCTGCAACAGTGACAGCCCTGGACTGCTATCAAGGGCAGTCTGATCAGAAGCACATGGGCTGTCTAAAAAGTATTTTATCTCTTATTGCCAATTCCCTAGTTCATCCAGCCTTCCAGTTATTCTCATGTAAAAAACAGCCAGTGCCAAAAGGCGAGTAAAGCTGTAGCTTCCTCCCTTTGCTTCTTTAATGTAGCATGTAGAGAAGTAGCAGCCCCTCTGCTCATTCTGGTATCGTGTGTATGCATAACTCCCCCAGTGAGCACGGTCCCTGCAGGGTGGAAACAGAGCAAACGTGACTGACACCCAGACACACTGTCTCTTCCTTCCGTGTGTGTTGACAGATGTGACAGGAGAGCCATCCTGACCTGCGTCTCTGGTGGAGGGTGCACAACATCAGCTGCATGCAGGGAGTGGTCTGCGAGGCTGGGGCTAGGAATGGGATCGTCTCCCTGTGGTATTGCTGCTTTGAGCTTCATCTATGCGTGTGTCCCATGAGGTAGGTGTCAGTCTGTAATGTGAAGTCCTCAGTAAAGCAGCCTTAAAAATACCATCACGTATTTATCCAGAAACAGTCTTAAAAATGACTTTTTTTTTTTTTTCTGGATACGCCTTCGCAGTCACTTGTCCTTGAGGGTAGAAAATGGCAGCTGACCCACTAGTCCACATAAGCAACTTTGGACTGGAAGTGAATGCAAATACCCTGCACTCCAAGGAAGCTATGTAGGAAGAATTCAACCTAAGAAAAGATGTTAGCAATGTCTGTCCTGGGAGCTGGGCAAGGACACTATGAGCTGCTCGCTTCTCTGAAAGATTGCCGTGGTCTCTGAAACCTTTGTGGTACATTATGCAAATCTTTGAGAGATTTATAGTAGTTAAAGAGTAGAAAGGGAGTAGTTATGTTGGTGTGGTGATGCCTTAGCAAATACAGTACGTCATAAACAAGCTCTAGGTTAGCTACCGCTGATATCAGACTTGTGTCTCCTAATGGCATGGTGGGACACAAGCAGAGCAGTAATTCACAGGGAGGAGTGCTCTCTACAAAATTACAATGTCTCCCTTTTAAGCTCCTGGTATGTTTCTGGAGGTTTTCATCAGCCAAACTTTGGCACAACATTGTTTACCCTAGTTGAAGAGACCACAGCTTGAAGTGATTGTAGGCCGTTAGGGTTATAGCAAAAGGACATGTTTCAGACACATTTGGGGACTTTAAGAAATATATTGACTAAGGAGGCAACACTTTGATCAGGTGCCAAGAAGAGCATATAAAAAGCCGTTTTGATTAAAATGAGTTTCAGTTCTGCAGTTAGGTGAGAGGTGGGGGAAATGCTTAGTGGAGTCATTTCTCTGTCAGCTATCGCTGGTACCTTTTTGATCTGCCCATTTTCCTGTGGTTTCCAATGAGTAAAAAATCTCTGTCGTCCCCCCCCGCCCCCGCCTGTGAACTCGTCACATCAGTGACATCCATGCTCAACTGTCATCTGTTTTCCACCATTCTCAACCCTTTTTTTTTTCCCCCTCCTCTGTTTCTTTTCCTTTCTCATGTCACTCTCTGTATTCATCCTCACTTTGTTCATTTTTGATTCTTTCTTCCTGAGTGCAGGGGAATTCTGTCTACTTTGGCTGTTTTGAACCTACCTATGAATGGGGATGCCCACATAAAGAAGTGGCATTCTGAAGTGTTGGGTGTGCTGTCACTATTCCTGTTAATTGTTTTTTTTTTTTTTTTTTTAAAAGATAGTTGAAGGTCACATCTGTGCCTTAACATTTGTGACTTATGTGCAGTTTTCAATTGGTCAAGTTCATATAACACTGTGAAGTCATTTTGTTAGAGCGTTTTCTTGGATCCATGTGGGCTCCATGCCAAGCAAACCTGCCACACTCAAATTCTTTAGATCTTAGAGCTGTGGTTATCAAAAGTGCCAAAAAACAAGTGCTCAAGGCCAGATTTTTGAAAGTTCATTTAGTCATTTAACCATCCCTGAAGTGGGGGTTGACCCTCAGTGCTTGTTGCAGTGAAATTGAGTTTGGACAGCTAGCTTTTCTGAGCTCTTCTCAAAGCTCTGTGTCTGCACATGTTGCAGAATCCAAGCTTCATCATGCATTAATGGGGAGGTCAGTAACTAAGAAAACCAGATAAGAATCAGGAAAGGAAAGCAGGAAGTCAGTGTGTGCCATTTGGTTCTTAGATGATCTTGACTGTCAGCCAGCAATATAAGTTTTCTGGGGCTATTTTTTCATCTTTCACAAGAAGCTAGGTTTGTGTTTGAATTTTGGATAAATATTTTCAGGGGAATATGTGTATTCATTGTTTTTCACAAATACTAACCAGCATCTTGAGGAAGAGCTCTTACTCCCAAACAGGAACCAAGAACAACTTCTCTTACTGCCCAAAGAGAGGTTTGACAGTAAATTAATATTTACAAAATAGGAATCACTCCAAAGTGAGAGAATTAATTTTTTCACCCATCCATGGGAGGATACTTTTCAGCTCTGAATGTATTTTGCTGTAAGATGAAATGTATGGCTTTTTTATAAGTAATCAGTTAACACTGGATCAAGTGGTAATTTTATTAGCTTCAGAACCATTCAGACTTATTTGGAAGATTCTGCTTCATTTTCTATCTGCACATCTGTGTAGCAGCTGCAGGCACATAGTTCCCAGGGGCTCAGTCTAATTTGTAGAATTACAGGGGTTGTGCCTGGCTACAGAAAAGGTCTATTAGTGTTGCTCATGTTGAAAATTTAAGCTTGATGCCTTCCACATGTTTGTTTTGTTTTGTTAGTCTTTTTCTGGGTCCACAATTAACCCTTTGGAGAAATTTCCTTTAAAGCAAGGTAACCATCGTGTTGTCTAATTCCTGATAAAGTGTTTTCAGGAGGCCATGGTTTCCTACTGAGTTTTCTTTGAATTTCTAACAACAGTGTCAGATGAACCGTAAACTCAGTTGAATTTTCTCTTTCTCCATTTTTTAAATGCATTCAAAAATCTATTTCTGCATTCCTGGAAAGTGTCTGCTCTCTCAGAAATAGCAGCTGACAGAAGAGGTGTGCATGAAGCATGCAGCAAAGAGTTCATCCAAATTAGACACTGAAGATAATTTTGGTTAAGTAGAGGGAAGTTGACCCCAAATTGGTCAAAACACTCAGCACAAGGCCTCACTACGATGTTTTCTGGATTCCAGCACCAGCCTGTACCTTAGGGTGAAGAGAGGCACAGGGCCTCTTTTTCTTTGACAGCAGCAAATTGGCAGCGACTAGGTCAGTTGTGCAGGCTGCTCTATGCAGATGGCCTACTTGCTTCTCTATTTTTGTCCAGCTGAACTCAACCATATGTTTATGTTCTGCAAGTGAAGAGCATCAGAAAAATAACACTTTTTCATTTTTGAACCTTTGGACAATATATCTATTGTCTGGGGTCTGACTGATCCGGGGCTTCTTGCCAGACTGGAACCTCATAGAGCAAAGTGCCACCTAGTGAATAACCACTACCACATCCTGCCTTGTTCCTTTTCAGCTTTATGTCTAAACACTGTGACAGCTCAGCTCATCAACTCAAACAAATGCTGACAGCTTTATGTCAGACACTTTCTGTGCTTGGAGGAACCCTCAAGCTGAATTTCCAAGTGGGAACAACTTTGGCGTTTGGAGTGAGCTGGGGGCTATTGCCTTTCTCGTGGAAAATGAAATGGGGCTGGAGGGGAGGTGTTAAAAATTATTTAGGTGAAATTTTGGATTTGCTACTGGAAATAGATTGCAGCACTTACTTTCTGTTAGGCTAGCTCTATAAACTCTGGTTTGTCAGACTAAGCCAATTCTTTCTTTTTAGATCTGCTTCTCATTAATCTGTGTTAGTCTCAGTTATGATACCTTCACAGTGCCTCATTTCACTCCTGCTGCAGGGGCTGGGTTCACTGGAAGAAGCACATCTTTCATGTCACATTTTAGTCACTCGACATGCAGTTTGCATCACAGAAATCCTATCATAATGTAAAGTGTAGGCTGTGGAGACATTTGGCACAGAGTACAGAAATGGGATTCAGGCAGACTTCAGGAGGTGCTGCAAGAGCTCAATGGAAAGTAGTCCAAAGAAAAGATTTGAACATGTACAAGTATTCTGTCTGGTAAATTTCTCTTCAGGAAAAACCTCAATATTTTATTTGTTCTTCCTTTACATGAAAAGCTAGAATAATATATCTTCTTTATCCCAGAGATCAAGTTTATAGCTTCTGAATGACTGTCTTTGGATAGGTTTGTGAATTGAGTATTATAAGGAAGCCATTTAAAGAAGTTTACTGTCCATATGTGTTGTGCAGTTGAAGGGGAAGGTGTTAAGACATTCACTGCGTGACCAGTGACTCTGCATGATTAAACTTAGCATTATGCCCAGACCTTCTATGACCATTACATGTATACAGTTATTCCCTGTAAACAATATAGAGAATTTTGGTGTTTTTTTAGTTAAAAGGAGCTTCATAGTCTTTATAACTAACCTGAGTCTTGCTCCATATTCTTAGACCCTCTGTGTTAGTGTATCTTTCATTCTTGAACCATACAGACATACATATAAAAGAATTAACCATTTTATTGTAATTTCATTGATATTGTGGAAATCATTTGAAGAGCTAACTATTCAATCACAACAATTTGTTTCTGGAATGGTCATCTAAACTTTTAATGAAGGAAGGAGTAAGTTATTTTGCTGTTATCACAAAAGCTCATTATTTCCTTCAGTTGTCTACCACCTTTTGCGTGCTATAACTAGTGAATTGTGCAAGAGATTAAGATCATGATTTACCTGCTTTTTTATGGGAATGAGCCTTATAATTCAATAATCTGTGCGATTTGATAAAGACGTCCAAGTACAAAGGAAATTTCACGAAAATACTGCTCATTAACAGTATTTGAAGTAATATGTGTATACGAATTCATTCATGTGAGTTCATTACACAAGATCCAAGTCCACTTTAGCCAAAATTACCTTACCAGTCCTCCTGAAATAATTGATTAAACTCCTGTAATCTTCAGTGGAGACAAGAATTCATCCTCACTTAAGGTCTTTAAGCCCTCTTGCTCTTTCTGTCCTTCACATATGCCCTCTCCCTTTCTCTCTCACCCCAAATTCCCCAATCTGTGCTTATAGGCTTACTCCATCCATCACTGAAATGCAGCTATTCCTGTTCAGCAACTTGCAGCCGTGTTACATAAACAAATGGAGAGAAATGCAGAATGGGGTATCAAATATCATAGGTGGCCATAAAACTTTGTTTTTGACCATATAAAATATTATTAAAACATATTTGACATTAAAATTACAACACACTGTCTTTGCATGTGCTCTTTCTTCAAACCCATGGTTTTACTGCAGAAAAACTGAGATAGCACTGTAAGAATTGCTCAAGCGCTTGAAAGCATGTGTTGGGAGGTGCAGCTAAAAGCTTACCACAACAGAAGCAGGCACACACAGTGGATTCAAGTGTCTCTCGCCTACAGTTAAGAGTATTTTTTGTCATCAATTTAGGTAACAAAAATATTGGAGCAAGTGAAATAAATTAAAGACGACTAATCCCATTTTCCTGTTCATTGTTTACCTTTCATTCATTATCTGTTCTTTAACTCTGAGCTCATTATTTTATGTTCCTTCAGCTGAATTTGTGCAAAAGAAATATATTTTCACATGCTGTGTAACCATCTGTTTGCTCTGGCAAGTTACATGGTTTGCCTTTCAGTGAGGCTGCCATGATATTATGCAAACATGTCTTTTCATTTGCTACACCATCTTGGTTACCATTTCGGCCATGTTTTCTGTTCCAGCTTTCACATCTGTATTTTGAACTGTGTAATGTCCAGATTTAAGCCAACTCCATAACTATGTGGAGAACTTCAACATGAGAGGAAAAGATAAATGGTCATTTAATAACCTGAGAGCAAGACTTTGCTTTGGTTGTCTTCATTGTTTAACATTAGCTGATGTATGTGCAACAGAAAAAATGAAGTAATGGGAACAAACTCAATGAAGTCAGGAGATGTTTGGAAATTCAGATGTGTTTTTGGTTTAGTGAAAGCCTGAAAAAGCATCAGATCTATGGGAAACATGAAAGTATGTGTGTTAGAGCAAAAGGAGCCTCCACTGGTTAGTTTTACTGAAATATATTGGTAGATCATGGAGTACTGCTTTTGTGGTCTGAAAAACAAATAAACATTGGGTCACATTCTTAGTACATGTAAGCATAGGTTCTTGAAGTCAGTGAGGTTACACCATTATGTTTTAGCTCAATTCTGTCCATGCATACAACTAAAAATGGTGACAACAGGCCACTTTATGAACAGCGTGACTGGGAATGTCAAATTCAGCTTTCTGAAAAGCTTTGCAGTCACTAGTTTATTATTTCTATTTATTATTTCTATTTCTATTAATATAAATTTATATAAATAAACATATTATTTATATTATTTATATTTATTATATATATTGCCATTCAGTAGAACGAATATAGATTGCATACGCTGTAATGCTATTGATTTCTTTTTTCTATTATAGTACTGGTAGTAGTAACATTGCCTGGCTTTTACTCCCTCCTCACCTTTTTTTTTTTTTTTTTCTTTTTCCTGCTAACAGCAAACTAAACAAATGGAAGGCTTCTGCTAAGCTTCGACTCTCACAAAACTCAGCTCCTTGCCTCCAACGAATCAACAGCCACAAACCCCATGCAGGCTGGGTGAGTCCTCTTTCTAGAGAGCCACTTTGCTCCAGCTCTCCAGTGATGGGCGCCTGTGAAATTGTTGGTTGTGAAAAGTAACATTGCTCTTAGGCATGCAACCTAAATAGAAGGCAAGGTTGCTGCTTGGCTTTGCGCCAAGCCAGCACGAAGTGCTGTAGCGCTTCCAGACATTTTTAAGGAAGTATCTATTCAAGCCGATTTTGAAAACAGAAAGTTCAAAGGCTCTTCAGGATTGTTGGGGCTAATTTTGGCATTCGTCTCATGGTACCCCGTAAATTGGGAATAGCTCAACTGAGGAAAATAGGGCTGTAATAGTGGGTACCTCACATTTTGTTTTTGTGGTATTTTTTTTGTTAGTGTAAAACACATACTTAAAATTAAAGTTTATTTCCATTAAGATGTACTAGAACCTGATTTATTTTATTTTATTTTTGAGTATGTCACAGTGGGACAATCCATAAAATTTCCCTAAGTGAAAAAGTGCTCAGGGAAGTCTATCAGTGTGCCAAGGAATGAGTAAGGAGCATTTGCATTTGAGGCAAACATTTATGACATCAGGAAATATTAGCTGAAAATTTAGCCAAATTATTTAAGCTGCTTGGCATCGTGAACAAAAAGTAGTTGTAGAAATGAGAATGTTAGTACCAAACAGAAGAATATAGCATTCTGGGGAAAATACTGACATGCATTTCATTTGTTTTAATACTGGATCAAGAGAGATTTTTATTTTTTTTTTGGTGACTGCTGCGTCCACTTCTGGAATGCTGCTTTCACATAACTGGGCTTCAGAAAAAAACTAGTAGTTTGAAGGAAGTAGAGTCAGAAGCAACACTTGTTGCTTAGAGGCAAGGAAGAGTCACCCTTTTGTAAATGCAAGGGAAAGTCTGAATGAATATTTTGGCTAAAACACAGTTAATATTTTGCAGGTATGTGTGCACACAAATGTATACTAGGCAGAGTGACTGTTTATTTTTGTCTTTTTCATAATTACATCCCCTTACACTCCCCCAGACAGAGGACAATTTATATTGCAAACTACCAGGAAACTGATGGTAACATTTCTTTCTTAGAATGGTGTCTCTCTTCAAGGAGTTCCCTTTAGTTAGTTTTGTGCTCCTTACAGTTGTACTGATGAAATCACTAGGGAAGTGTTGCCCTCCACTGGGAAAGAAAAGGATGATTTTAGCAAAAGGTCTGCCACTTCTCTACTGTGTATGGCCTAAAACAGTTCCTGTTGTGTAAGGAATCTGGGGAAGCAGAGGGCCCTTGACACCTCTCAGAGGGCATCTCCAGGTTGTCCCTGGGAGGTTTTGTCCTCACCAGGTTTGTACAGGGACCATGGGTCTGCTCCTAAAAACAGAGCAGGCTTTCAATTGGTGCATGTAACATGTTGGTAAATTGCTATGAAACCAATATAAATTTGATGGAATCAGTGTGCAAATGTCCATGGCAAATCTCCAGATTTGCTGAAACTTTCCTTCTTGCGTAATTCAAAGCAATTCTTGAAAGCTTCCCAAATCTTTGTGTTGCTATTCTTATTTTGAATGGGAAAGGGAGAAAGTGCATATGAACAGTACCAGATGTAGACACCTTTTGTGTAAAATTATACTCTGCTTTCCTAATAGCACACAGAGATGAATTCATGCTATGCGTTGGCATCGATGTATGGTCTGCATTCACAAGCATGTTGTGAAATTGATTCCAAACCAAACATTGGTATTTCATGTGGGAGAAAATGTCTTGGTTAGCTGCTTATGTACAGACTGCATTTTTAGAATGATGATGCCCATGCCATGCCAGCCATGTTCATTTCCAAAAAAGCAAGATGAATTCCAATTTTTCCTAAGCCTATTTTGGGAAACAGTGGTTCTTGGCTCTTCAAGAATTAGCATGAGCAAGAAATTTAATTGCCTCATTAGAAAGACTAATTTGGCAAATCAAATCAAAATGTTGTATCTGAGCTTTACAGTTTAATTTAATTTCGAGTAATTTTCAAGACACTTGGGAAGGCAGCGTTAATGACGGGTGTTGTGAATGGCAACTCCAGATGGGCTGGGGAGCTGGCTGCATCACAAGCAGGGTTTTTCTGGGGGGTTCTTCCCCAACTTGTGTGGAACGGTAAGTAGGATCCAGAGCATAATCCCCAGTCCTCTCTAGTGGTTGGTGGCTAAGTCTTTCTCTAGAGAAAGACCAGTCAATGGTAAGAGACATAAGACAACTCCTTAGTGATACCTGGATATACGGGCTCTCAAACTGAGCAAGAAGCTGATCAGAAAAAGCAATAACATCTGAAACAAAGGCAGGCAATAGCTTGACTGTTTGTCTACTGAAACAAGTGTCTACTGCACTTACTTCCTTTTGACAGCTCTCCCTGAGTTGGGACCAGATGTTTTGTAATCTAACTTGCAGGTATTTACTGACTGTAACCATACCATTGAGGACTGTACAAAAACCCAGTTATTTCAGACATTGACAACTATCGTTTTTTTTTAAACCACTTAAAGTCACTCGATTGAGACTTAAGTATTTCTAATGGACAATGAAGTTGGATTTAATGAATATGCCTGGTTTGAGTGGTTTCCAAATATGCCATTTAGCTTAAATACTACTGTAGTCATCGCTTATCATCACTTCCTTAATTTGTAGCTACTGTTGTATAGCTACTACATTTACTCGTATACAGACACACACACACTGTGTGAGCAATGCTCTGGAGGGGATATTGTTGTGTAAGTCAAGAATGTGCATATTTCTATTTGAGACTAATGAGGCTAATGCACTTTTTAGTTTAAAGATAGATTAGAAATCCTTGCCTTTCAGTTACTGTCTCTTTCGTTCTCCCTCTATTTTCTGGGGAGAATATTTCTACGTTACCTCTCATGTTGACTCGTGAGTGCTCCAGTGATTTAAAATCTATTTCAAGGTAAATCTAGTACAGTTTAGTTAATGGTGTGACTACAAACCTGTTACATTGTTAAAACCAGCCAGGAGCATTGGCAGTTCTATTACCACTGATTGAATGAGGGAGCTCAGCACACAAAAACATTCAGCATTGAGGGGCGTAATCAGACCAGGGGAATGGAGCAGGCTGTTTAGTACTTGGCTGTTGTAATGCATCTAACTTCTAGTGGCACAAACTGCACAACGTGATGTACTTGCTCTGATCAGCATAGGATTTTGTGGGAGTATAGATCTACACGCACTCAAAGAATTTGGCATTCCTCTGAAAGCCAGATAACATCTCTGACACGGAGGGCAGCAGGCTGCAGTAAAAGTGGCTATTTGAGATGCAGGATCACTTGGACAGAGGGAGACGAAGTGCAGGCGCTATGGAGCTCTGGACAGGTTTCATCAATCAGAAAGTTTTGCATCAACATACAGAAGGGAGACTTTCACTCCTGAAGTTTTTTTTGTTTTTGTTTTTGTTTTTTTTTTTTCCCAAAGGGTATTTTTCCCAAACATGGCAAGTTTGCGGCTTAATACAGGTTCTTGCCTAAGGACAATATTTAATCAGATGAATCCAACATTTGTGCAAATGCAGCTCCCTTGGCATCCCAAATGACACTGAAGTAAAGTACTGGGAAAAGATATTGAAAGGACTTACACTTATTCAGTGATATAAGCCACTTCAATAGCAAGTTTTCCGTGTACAGCTGCCTTATAGAATTGAGCTCAAGACTAAGTGAGGCTTTCTGTGCCTATAAAGGTTTATGGTTTTATTTCTTTCTTATTTTAACCAAATTTTATACAGTAGATAGCGTGTGCACTGTGTATATGGGGAAATGAAAGCAATTACTGCTTTAATAAACATTCAGCAGAAAGTGATTACTTCAGCCCACCCACAGGTGGGTTTTAATCCATAATGCAAGCAGTTACAAAGATACTCTAATCACCTGCAGGAAAAGCAAAACAAACAAAAACATGGCAGGAAATGCCTATTTCTGATTAATCCCACAGAACTGAGATTAGCCAAAGCAAGCTGTGTGACATAACAGGAACAGAAAGGCCTGAGGTTAGCCTCAGGATAGTTAGTGGAGTTTTAAAGTTAATTTGGATCCAATACGTTCTTTGTTAACAACCCATTCCAGGATTCTTAGAGGTAGGAGAAGTAACCTCCTAATTACAGATGTGATTAGATGCTGTACCATCTCTTTTATTAACACTGACTTCAGGGGACTCAGTATTTTATCCTTTTAACAATATCTGCCTCCCAGAAATTTAGCTATTTTGTTCTCACCAGTCTTTTCTGTCTACCATTTTTCTTTCAATAGTGTTGGAACTTGGAAAGCTCTTAGGTGAGTTTCTAAGATCATAGCTTGCGCAGCATCCTCTAAAATAAGTGACTGTGTGGTCTCGTATAAATTGAGAAATGCTGCAGTTTACCTGTTCTGTAGCATTTCCTGGGTTAAAGAAGAAACACAACACTGTCTGGGAAGGTTATCTGTATTGTTTTGCTAACCTACACGTTTATTGAGAATTGGCCTGGCACTAAATAGATCTGCAGTGGTATCCACCATACTGCTAATGATGGCGTTCACATTTGGGAATATGTGATTAACTTCACTTGCGTTGTAAAATAGTATTGCTAGGACAGTCTGAGCCATATTCGTAGCCAACAAAAGCCTTATTTTATTCTTCCTCTGTGATTTTGTTTCTTGTTTAAATCATATGTTGTGATTTCCTTATCTTTTCCCTGAAATGTTGTTTAAGTTTAGAACAGGTATTTATGCATTGATTTAGTCTGTTCTCACAAGAGGTTTGCAATTAATTTTGATCCAGCTTTTTTTTCAAACTTAATGCATGCTGTTGTATAAACATTCCCCAAAATCTACATTGAAGTTACATCATTTAAAACTAAAAATAAATGATACAGAACATGCACAGTTTACAAAATGAAAACTAGATATGATCCACCCTTATTCAAAAATATATAGTTTGAATATGATTTTAAGGCATAAAGCAAATGGAATGCATCATGTTCTGAACAGTTAATTTCT